AGAGAGAGAGAGAGAGAGAGAGAGAGAGAGAGAGAGAGAGAGAGAGAGAGAGAGTGGAGGGGGGAGAAGAGAAATGAACTTTTAAACAGTGATTTACTATGTGACAAAAAAGAGAACCAGCGAGCTAATTTTCTGCGCGACTGTTTGAGATCTAATAAAAATGTTTGCTGAAGTTATCATCATGTTGGAACTGACACTTTAATAGCGTCACTACCGTTTTTACTTTTTTATTCTACTCCTACTGTCACAGACAGTACTGTGCGTTGTGTCAAATTTTAAGCGGCGGAGATGACAAACAGCCGCGGGGTGCTACAAAATGGCGTTTTCGTTCACCAAATAACTCGCTCGTGACGAGCACTCGTGAAATAGCCGGTAAAATCGATGAAATCGGTGTGTATACACCGGCGCAAGCCGCTACCGTCGCTCGCGGCTTTTCGAAATTCGGTCGTGCTCGCCCACGCTTCCGGGTGGTTCGTTTCGGAGAAGATTTATAGAACCGAGGAGCCATTGTTCCCGGGCGCGACAACTTCGGGGACGATATCCGATTAGCCTAAGGGGTTCATCCGAAAATTCTCCTCGAGAAAAGTTATCGAAGTAGAGGACGCCGATAAAAGAAAGACGAATGAATGACCCTCTTCCCCTTTCTTTGTTCCAGGTCTCTATTTCCCGCAATCAAATTTGACTCTAAGGCTCCCGTACTTGGCGCGACAGAGCGCGGTAGTTTCACTGGAGGTGAAACTGATCGACCTGAGGACCCTTCGGAACGACTATGGGGCAGCGAAAAACGCCAAGTATCAGCTGTACACAAACTCGCGGAAGTTCGCGATCCAGCAGAACAGTATCGTGTTGCAGGGTCTCAAAAAAAATGGTAAGTGAAATTATTATTAACGGAGTTAAGAATCATTATTAATGGAATTGTATCGCAATAATATCGCAGAATGTAACGCGCAGTCTTGACCGACCCGAGTCGAAATTTTGATCCTACTTTCGGCCTTAACGTTCCATTTAACGCATACTTTGACACTCCGAAACCTACATCAATCTCTTGTGATTCTATTTAACTTACTAATTTTGCCGAGAAGTTCCTCTTTAGGATTTGCAGATAGCATTTCGTTTTCCTGCCATTTAAGTAGGATTTTAGTTTCTAAGTGTATCAAACATATACTGATTCTTTATAGTATACAGATGTTAGAAAGTTTAAGTCGAAAGTAGGACTGAACTTTCAACTTGAGGAGAACGTTACATTTTTCTCCGTGGCGTTGTTTTTCCATTAGGCGTCGATACTGTCATCGTCGAAGCGAGCGAGGAGGGTTTTGGTAAGGCGGTACTCGATATACAAGTGCAACCAGTGGCAGTGACAGCGGAAACGATCAACTGTACGGACTTTTTGCAGGTAAATCGCGTGTCTGCACTTTTCCGAATATCGCGTGCAATTCGTATCGCGCGACATTGAAAATCGATCTGGACGATCGCGACTTTACAATAACACGTCTGCATAGAGAGAATTTTGTAGTAAAAATTACTATAAAATTTTGCAACCGTGAAATAGGTCGATTCTGTAATAATCGACTATTTTTTCATTTCAAATATTTATATCTCAGAAAATATGCTATTAAAAGATTTGTTGTGCCTGTAGCGAATATTCACTATGTTCTCCTTAGTAACATAAATCTTACTGACATTACTGTGTTACATGGAAAATTAAAAAGAATTTATATGAGAAAAACGAGAATATGAGAATTTATATGATAAAATATCCTCTATGTAATTCATAGATGATAAATCTATTTGCGCGAGCAGATTATATCTGCACGAAGGATTTTATAGTAAAAATTATTATAGAATTTTATGAACAAAAAATATATCACAGTAATTAAGCTTTTCATCTGCTATATGTGCTATTTATGTTTGAGGAATTGAAATATGCTATTAACAGAATTTTCTGGTGAAATTTGCTGTTTCTGGCGCAATTTACAATGTATCTTAGCGATATAGATCTTCCTCTGATAGTGTATTCCTACACTATAAAAAAAACATTATAAAAACACTATAAAAAGACACTAGTTTTACTAAAAGTTTGTTGAAAGAATTTATATGAAAAAGAAAACTATAACATTCTTTCTGTGTGTATTTCGCGATACGAGAAATATTGATAAATCACGATGATCGTGTAAATCATTTTGACACTTTGGCGAAGATAATCGATCATTAATGGTTTAACGCGTCGCGACATATTTTACCCGAGGCGTGCATCGGTCCACAAGGTTTCCAGTGTTGCAGGACATGTGCTTTTGGAACACTTCCATATACAAGATTTACGAGAATCAACCAGTCACCATGATTGGCACGTTCGGCCCGGAGGCGTACGGCTACGTGTGTCCCGAATTCAACGTCACCAGATATGAGTTATTGAATGGCAAGTATCTTGGGTAACAGCCCCATCTCCGTTCGCCAACGTAATTTCTCCACGTTCGCAGCAGTCGCGCGCACGCGCGCGTGATTTTAAAGTTACTTCACCCTGTCTTGCCCATGATCGACGATCCGAATTGCAAAGCCGGCTTCTCATTGGGCACTTACCGAAAGACGCTCGCTGGAGCATCTAATGTAATGCAAACTGAACTCGCGGAAGATTCGAGATTCAACAAATAAAAGCTATCGAATAGTCCTCGCGAAATTCGTTTCTCGTTGATGAATCGTCGCTCCAGTTACCTTCCCCGAGTCGTCGTCGGGTTTCTGTTTGCACAGCATAAATCTCTTGGTTTAAAGATCAGGCATTTTTCACTGACAAAGCCCGGGCGAGCCACGAAAGCGGTGATTGATCGAACCCGTTCGACGCGAAATACGAATAAATTTATCGCCGTATCCACCTGCGCGCGGCGCCGCGGCACGTGACGCCGAAAAGCTGCGAGAGCTGTCGTCATTAAAATTCGCCGTCGTTATCGTCCGTGACATAATACAATATAACGATGGTGGCTCGTGACCCTTTGTGCGACGAGCCATGCATCAAATCCGCGGGATCGCTCCTCCGTGGCGTTTTAAATTTTATGTTTCCGCGGTTCAATACAATTGAAACGCGCCGGTCATCGGGAAAATGTTGCACACATTTCATACGCAACGATTCCACGGCGGGAATGGTTAGTTCCGAAATAACAAGGCTATTGAATTTCTCTAGGCAACAACATTGCAACGGTGTTCGCTCGCAAAAACGACGTTAAAAGCGGCTCGCGATTTCGTATTACGAAATTTCGACTGGCCCTTTGCCGCCGGATTCCCGATTCGCGGATCCGACCGAATTCGGCGCTCATACACCGCTCGTTCGCGGAATCCCTTTAATTATGTTAATCAACGTCCGGGCGATACACAGGCTCGAGCTATTATACGATTCAATTTTCCGTGACGCGATTCTTCCATTATACCGCGTTGAGAGAATGCTGAGACGGTTAAAACAAACCGATATCGCGGGTATCGTAAGGAACGATTCGTTCTGGTTTTCCAGGAAAGAACTACTTTCACACCGTCGACGGCAAGTTGTTCGCGAACGCATCCTTGGATCGGGACGTCCGGGGCCCACCCGGAGGACCCGGGCCTCGCGTCATAGTCAAGGTGAACTGCGTCGTTTGGGAGTCGACCGGCCGACAATACACGCAGACGAGAGACATCACAATCGATATCCTGGATCAAAACGACAATCCGCCCGTCGTGCAGGGCAACAAATCCATCGCCATGGAGCTCCGGGACTTCACCGTGGTGAGCACGTCGATCTACCGGCGTATCGTTGAGTGATCGAGACTGTGTCGGGACTGTTAAATTAGCGCCGTTGCCCGAGTAGCTCGAAGCCAATTAACTTCCCGATGTTGAATGGCAATCGAGAGTCCGCCGTTGCGAGAGCGTAAGCACGTCGTTGATCTATATCGTAATTCTACTCTGCGTGCTTGTAACCCGACGTTGAATCCTTGAGACGAAAATCGAGCCTCTCCAGTGTAGATGACCGTCCTCGCTCGTGTGACAAACGCAGAATGAACGTTGGGAGTATCAAGTTGATTCGAAGGTCTCATCCGAAAAAATAATAAATCTCATCTGAAATCCTGTGGAGCCTCTGGAGGATTTCGCTCTTGTGTACGATCTCAGCAGGATTCTTCTAAAAGTAAAAAGACAATATTCCAAGTAAAGTGTTCTTACAATTTAAAGAATTTCGTCTTTTATCCACGTTTTTTGTGAATTCTTTTCTAAAACGAACATTTTAACACCAGAACACCGGGTCAATCAAAATGATGCTTGTTTTTATGAAAATTACTCAAACTCATTACGATGCATTTTATATTTCTAATTAACATTGAATTTCGTCTTTTATTTATGGTATGCAAGTCTTGTTCTTAGTAAAAATTTCTTCTAGTAGGGCATTCTCTGCTTCAAGTAAACGTAACCTTTATGACTCAAAAGAAGGAAAGTTAGTCTAGATTTCTGTTTAATAGAGTTCACTTCGTTGGAAGAGAAATACTCTTTCGGTAAATATTTTCCGAATATGATATTACAGGAAATAGAGTCTTTTAAATAAAGGAAATACTTTCGGTGCAAGGGAGTTGGAATATAAGGGACCCACTTAAGCGAAATCAATTATTTTTATTTTTTACTCCAACTTACTCCAAGCTTACTCCGCATATTGCAGACAAGCCTTAACGCGTATCTGACGCGCGTCAAATAATTCCAATTTCCGCGTCCTTATTCCTTTTTCGTCCGTCGCAACGTGCGCTGCTCCGCACCTGGAGCGTTCTATTCGACAAATTTCAGGACATTTCCCCGCGAACGATTCTCGTTTTTCAACGCGCGTCGCGTCGGAATTGAGACGACTTAATCACGCGTTCATTGTTCGCGTAATTACCGGCGCTGCTGTTTTGAGCGGTGCGCCGGTAATAATAAAAAGGAAACGCGACGAGCCAACCACAAAAGACACGCGAGCGCAACGCAGGATGCCGAGAGACGAGGCGAGAGACGAAGAGCTTCCGCGACTAATCCTGATTAAACCCCGGGGTGTTTTCCGACGCGCGCCGAACTTCCTTTCCCCGCTTTACATTCTCCGCCAAATGCCTCTCTTTTTTTCTATCTCTCTCTTTCTTCCTCTTCCTCTCCCTCGCAGTCGTTACTTCTCATCATTCGCGCTCTCGCTTCCTTGAAGAACGAGATTACATTGTTACGTTTGGATATTGTTATCAAGACATCTGAGAAGCTTCCGCGAAAGTCGAAGACTTTAATGGGCGAAGTTGGAGCGCGCGATCGGTTAATCGAAATCTCGCGTCGCATCGAATCACAAAGTGCGCTGAAAATACTCGAAACTATTATCCTCGAGAGCAATCTGATGGCCCTCTCATCTGCCTCATCCCCCTTGGCGAGAACTAATTACGCCAGAAAATATCGCGTCTTTTTCGAAGCGATAACGTTAGTCCCGATAATCAAGCACGTTTACAAAGAAAAAAGAAGAAAAATAAAAGGCACTTATCATTCCTCCTGAAGCTCTCTAAATTTCTTCTAATGAAATTCGCGTAACTTTTCGCTCATGTCGAATGTATACTCTGAATCGTCGAGTGAATACTTTCATCCGAAATTGAAGAATGGATTAAATGTGATTAAAATCCGACTTCATCCTCGACCGAAACATTCAATCATATGATGTGAGAATGCATCCTGAGCTTAAGTGAAACATTCACTCTTGCTATTTTGAGTGACAGTATTTTCATTGTCACTTCGAGTGCAAATACCGTCACTTTTCATTCGTTTTGAGTGGGATTTCATACCAAGAAACTTGGAGAATGAGGCATCAGATGCGAATGTTACCGACAGGGCGACTTGTTGATCAACAACCTGATCCTGACGGACGCGGACGCGATGACTACCAACCAGTACAGCCTCAACCTGCTCGGGGAAGCTCACGACGCCTTCAACATCAGTTACGACACCTTGCCAATCGAGCATGAAAAGCGGCCGAAAGACGTGCCTTCTACTGCTATTATTGTCAGTGAGTATTCGCATTCCTTCCTTCTCGTCGTAGATCGACGCAGTCGCATATATACGTTTTCCTCGCGTCTTCCGCGTGGATCGTGATCGGAAATTCGTACTCTGCAATTTTCTAGGGATCCACGCCGGAAAGACGCTGCTGCCGAAGTCGCCGTGCCGCGTGCTTCTGCGAGCTGTCGACGAGTCGCTTCTACCGAATTACGGGCCGAATGTGGTGAGTATGCTCGTGGTCTATTGATTCTAACGTCGTGGACAGGTCACTCGCCAGCTACACTTGAAACATTCGCTCCATTTGCCATATGTCCAAGAAAGGACCTCGCTCGAGTAACTTGACGGTCAATTCCGATTGAGAGGACACGTTGGGAAGTATGGACCGAGTTCCTCGAGCTTTCTCATGCACATCAGGGATCAAAGTTGGATTCCACCATGGACATAGTATACATGGACTCCGAATGGCCTATGTTCTGTTGTCTAATAGAGTAAAGCCAACATCTAGAAAGAGAGCAAGAATAGAGAGGCTATAGTTTTCTTCCCATTTTGTCACTTTTATTGCGCGTACATCCATTTTTCATTTCCATAATATTATAGAGTGCAACAACACCCCGACTAGACTGGCAAGTAAAAGTTTTAGTTAAATCTTATTGCACACTTTGTCTGTGCAGAAAGAGACAGAGAACAGAGGGGCTGTACATATTGGCTTCTCTTTTCTGACTATATGCGGAGTCTATATATAATGTCTTTCTACATGTTGGCTTCACTTTTCTGGCCGTATGCGGAGTCCATGTATACTACGTCCATAGATTCTACTCGATATCTATAGTGTATCTAAATCGGTATCTAAAGGAAGTTCAGACCAAAGGCCAATGTCTTGAAATATAAATCTGTGACAATGTTGGAAAGTACACGGAGAGAAAATAGTATAGTAAAAATTTTGTAATCTTGGACCACACATGCAGAATTTATGACTAAAAGTAAAGTTAGTAAAGTTGTATTTCGGTATTTAAATACCGATCCGATCATGTATATTTGCAAAAACACGACCCGCTTTGTAGTCGACTCGACCAAATCAGCGAGTAATTAATCAGTGTGGTTCTAATTTTAATCGAAATTACGGATGAGATCTAAAATTTAAAGCGCCATCCAGGAATCTAGATTTGAAACGCAATTAATATTTAAAGTCTTGAAAAGTTGGACCTCACTTCAATTGCATTAATCGTAGGGCACGATTTCGAATCGTAATTTCTGATTTCGAATCTCTCGAGATTGCACAAAAGAGGTAATTTACGATTTCGATTGAATATTACGACTTCGCGTGAAAAATTGATTAATGCATCGTACAGTCAGAACGGAACTCCTCGTAATACACTGGCCGTTCGTCGAAATGGACAAAGAGCGCGACGCGCAGCGTGCCGCCGCCGCCGCCCCGTTGAAAATCTGTTGTCCGATCAAAAAAGTTCACCACGTTCGCAGTAAATTTCGCGATATCGACAGAAGTCCTCCGATATCGCACCGCCGTGTGTCATTTGCGAATGGCATGGCTGGAACTCGGACGTAAGTGCGCCGTGCTGGTTCCATCACTCGAAGGGATCACTCTCACCAATATACGGGAAGTATATGTATAAGACATCCGTTCCATCGCAGAGAGAAGGAGAACTAGATCTTTTACCAGCCGAGATCTACAGTCACTCAGGGAGAACGAACTTCCATCCGTCAGGGGTTAACTTCGCGTTTCCATCCGTTCTCAGTGAATACGAATCGCGCCGATGAACACGATCGCCGCCATACGTGGACATACGATGTCTCACAAAATCATGATTCTGAAATTTGAGTGCTGAGACACTGGCTCTCGGTCTAAACTCTCCTCTATCGATGGAAGTGTCTCTAAATGGGTTTAGAAACCAATCTAGAAGGCTCATAAGTCACATTTACAGACACTTTTATCGATAAAAGGAAGTTCAGACCAAAAGCCAATGTCATGAAATATAAATCTGTGACAATATTGGAAAATACACGGAGAGAAAATAGTATAGTAAAAATGTTGTAATCTTAGACCACACATGCAGAATTTATGACTAAGTAAAGTTAGTAAAGTTGTATTTCGGGACTTAGATTTCGCGATTATATATTTTTAGGACATAACGAAACAGCTATGTATCAATCTCTCCCGGAGAGTGCCCGATAAAAGCAAAGTCCATCGATAAAAGCAATTATCCACCTCTAATTTGCTCGAGCTACTTTATGAATTAAACACGATCCGATGTATTAGCAAGGTTGCGTTTTTCGATAAACGCGAACGTTCTTTCAGGTGTAAATCACTTCTCATTTACATTCAAGCTCAGCAGCTCACAATCGTGTGAGACGACATCGAGCTGGGCTTGTATCGAGGAAGTCGAAAGATAAGAGCTCATTAGTCGCCATTAACCGTGCCTGGCGTCCGTGATCGCCGCTCCGCGGTATAATCGGAGGTCATTAAACAATTAGGTGGTGAAATCCCGGCTTGTTAGGCTCCTTGGGTGTGGCATTGATTTCGCGGAGGCGGCTAATCGCGGATTAATAGCCACGTGAAAATGGCGCGTGGGCGTAAGTCGCTTACTGCCGAGCTCCGTTCGGAATATCGCGGACGTCATCAAATGCGGACTCCCGCAACGTTTCTTCTCGCAAAATTTCCTTCCCTAGAAAAAAGCCCCACCCCGCTGGGCGAAACAGCCATGCTGCTCTGCGCGGTAGGCGTCCGGTCCGACGAGATTTTCAAAGAATCATCCGCAGAAGCGACGCAGGGCGTAATATGCATGAATAAATGCATCGCCGCAGAATGCAATTTTCAAATATTCCACCGGGCGATTCTTGCGACGGGAATGTTTAATCATATCGTTCGGATTCATAGCGGATTCATACGGAAGATGGCATAATTGATGTCAAAGCGAATCAAAGACGAGAGTTCGAGCGCATGGTAACATTTAAAGACACTTGCGCTTGTGTCCAATACATTCCTGACAGCCGCCGAACAATTCGATTGTGAGATTTTAAATCAAATCGCGACTCGCGTATATAGCGTTCTCGTGCACCTTTAATGGATATCCTACATCATTCGCGCGACTATCCGTGCTCAAATTGAAAGCGCGCGGCAAAATAAATCTCGATGGCGATATCTACGGCGACCTATTCCTGATATATCGCGTGACCCTTAAACTGGGCCGCGTCTTAGATATCGGTGGCTCGATGGCTGTTCTCGTCTTACTTGCCAGGACGCGAAACCTTGACGTTTAAATAAGCCGGCGGAACGCGGGCTCGTAGATCCTCGTTGTTGAGCAGGAAATTGCGAGGTAATTACATCCCGTGGCCTTGAGTTTGCTTCAGTCTTTCCTTTCCTTTTTCATCGAAAAGTTTGAAAATTTTCCAAAGAGTAAGGAATTATTCATGAAACATCTTTGTGATTTATAAAGTCAATGGAACGTAACGTTTGCAAATATGTACACTAAGAGAGAAAATATCTGAGAAGAAAAATATTTATTCGATAGATATTTGTATATGTATATATATAAAATATTTTTTAGATAAGGAAAGATATTCAGATAAGAAAATATATTTTTTTAGAGCACCATAGCTTTTCATGAAAGTGCAATTGTTCATTTTATTTAAATAAAAGAATTCAGATTTAAGTAAATATATTGTTAATATCTACCGAATATAAATATTTCTTTTACATTTTTTAAATGTTTTTTCTCTTAGCGTTTTTTATCTTAACGTTATATCAACGACATCAATAACACAATATATTTTTAAAGTACTTTTACAAACTGCAAAATCACATTATCGAATAATGTGCCCGAAATAATTGCGAGAAATTAGGTTAAAATGTCCAGAGAGAGAGAGAAAAAGAGAAAAAGAGAAATGTGTATAGTAAATCAATATCCCGAAATGTCCAATAACTGAATTATTTGTTAGCGTTGTTGGGTCGAGAATAATTTAACGTTAGGGGAGAATTTTTGTGGCAAAGTGCCACAAAAATTGTCGAGAAGACACGGTCGGGTTGTCGGTGAGTTGTGATACGGATTTATTCGTAGTCCTTGCACACATGTAGTCCTCGCGCCGAAGAAAGATTGGACGCGCTTAAGTACTGTGGACTTTTCTCTCCACGTTCTCGTTCCATAGGTGTACCAGGAATGGACGATAAATTCTAATAAAGAGCGTCACGTAGCAATCGTATCAACCACTGTGGCCTTTAATATCGATCTTTCGCGGTGGCACACTGTATCGTACGGTCTCTCGCGAGATCTCTACGCGGCCAATCGTCCTCCAACTGCGACATAATCGTTCTTGGATCTGTCATAAATTTTCCAGAGATTTCCTGCTTTTTTAAATAATCGAAAATTATTAATTGTGGTAATAAGTTACGAAGATAATCGAAAATTATTACCAAAATATTAAAGACAGGAAAGTACATGAAAAAGAAATATGATAGTGTCATTAAATATGAGACATTATCTTGAGGAAATGATATTGACAGACATAAAGAACGAAAAGTCGATTTTCGCAGTAAGGATACATTCCCTAGATCTCTCCTAACGCCTTTCCTTACAGCCGCGACCCGATCCTCATGTCATTAATCATTGTGTAACTTTTTACGAGCTACAGGTCCTTCTCATTCACCCTTCAAACGACGTCGAGAGAGATCAATATAAGTACAACAGCGTCATAAAAAGCGCTCACACCTACGCTTCGATGAGCAATAATCTAACAAATAGCTTGGTCGCGTTGCCTAAATACTAATTAAACAAAACAGTGATTGATCGTGGAAAATGTCATGGAAAATGAGATCAATTTTCCTAAATTCAAGCCCCCTCGGGAAATCAACATCCTCCCGAGTCGGCTTGCAGTCCGCACTAAACTGATCGTAATCCATATTTTCCGTATTCTCAGCTGCTCGTTAATCTGACATTCACGGGCCCGGTGCACCAAACTTTCATGACCACGAAGTCGGCGACCCCGACGACACAAGAGCCGGTCACGTTTCCGACGAGCGTGGAGATCGCGCGAATCTCGCCCAGATACTTTCGCGTGACGGAACCAGCCGTGAAGCTGCAGTCCTCGCGAACTTTCATCCTGTACGGCTCGAGCGCCTTCAACGTCACTCAGCGGAGCGGCATCGTCTACGTGTCGAACGAGACATTGCTGCGCTCTGAGCAAACCTCTATTATCTTGTAAGTAAAGCTTACTCTACAAACCTTAATTTATTACCTGGACTCTTTGCTTCTGGTTTCTTGTTCTCTGTCTTTCTCTGACTCAAAACTTAAGGTTTAAGTTCGAAAGAGATAAAAAGACAGGAACAGGAGACAAAGAACACATTGTTCTAAACAGTGTAGATCTAAACAGTCTCTCCGGCTTTCGCCTTCGTGAATAGCCCGACGTCGCGCGCGTATGAGCTATTTCCGCTAATTAAATTGACATTTTGCCGTGGAGAGAGTAAAACATTATATTATATCGTTGCGCAGAGTTTTTCGGCCATATATTCAGCGTTCGTTAGTGTGGAGGGTGTAAGCGAAGTTAAACTCGGTCGACTGAAATTCTGATATAAGAAAAGCCGCGATAATTTTATATAGACACATGTATATCGAAATATTTTTAAATGTGAGGGAATGAAAGCTCCAGTCGTATAAAACTGCTCCGATCAATGTCTTCGAAAGAGCGAATCTAATATTAACATGTTCACTACTCTCGAAGGTCCCCGGCGATCAGTGCTATGATTTTGCTTCATTAATTATGCACAAAAGCGTAACTAATTGCACCGACCGAATTAAATATGCAAATAGGAAGCTGCTTGAACTACACTGAGAAGTAAAATATCTAAGGAATAGTAAATTGGTGGATACTTATTTAGTGGATATTCTATGTATAACAGCATATTTATTTGTATTAACATAAAATATTTTCCAAATAAGAAGATACACATTTTTCTAAAACCTAAAAAAACTTTAGTTTATATTGAAAGAAATTATTTGTTTTATTTGAATAAGGGAATTTATTTTTAAATAAATATACTGTTAGTATAGCCACACCAAATAAATATTTACTAATTTTTAGACATTTTTCTCTTAATGTAGTTATATTGGATATATGCTTTATGAAATGCAAACTTCAGTTACTTTCTGAATTCCTTGGAGTGAAATTTCACTCAAAAACGTGAAAATCCATTCAAAGTGATGATAAAAATACTATCACTCGAAATTACAAGAATGAATGTTTAACTCAAATTATAAAGTGTGTATGTATGTGCGTGGAAATTTTTAATATTTTATTAACATTATTTATTCAAGATAAATTCCTTCAATAATTCAGAGTGATAGAAGTCACTGTGCATAAGCGGGAAATCACTCGAATGGCTTGGCTGTTATTATACTTTTCGAGTAAAATTTCATCAGAAGTTTAGGTAGTAAGCTTTGGAACATTCCATGGAAATTAACGTGGTGATCGTCAAGTTGCGATAGTCGAGACAGGCGCGTAAGAAACGATTGTCTCTGAAAGTACTGAGAAGTGTTCATTTACCTTGGACCTCTCACCCAGACGACGTCGGGTTATTCTCGCATATTAAGCGTGAACTTCCGAAGACCAGCGGCGCGATGGAACTCTTGTCTCGATCGTGCCAATCGGCTGGACGCGTATCGACACCTCGCCCGTGCACAGGGCGAATTTTCTTGTCGCGCGAGCGTGACGGTATCGGCTTGTTCACCAGACTGAAATTAAAATGGGGCGAAGAGAAGCGCGCCGAGTGGATGCTGCTAGTGAATCTGATCGACGTGCCGCCGTCGAAGACCAACACTTGCAAGCCGACTCAGAAAGAGATGCACTCATGCGCGAACGCACATTCGTACGACCAATGCGTGCAATCCTGCGGAACAGCCAGTGGAGTCTTCAGGTACGTGTGTCCTCCTCGTGTTCCTCCCTGATATCGATATGGTATCGTCGCGAAAGAAACGCTGATTGCTGCACCGACAATTCGCGGATTAACGTGTTCGCTACCGTGGTTGGGCAACTTTCTCCACATTCGTTGTAATTGAACAAAACAAACTTAGTTGGGTGTGATGTTGATAACGAATACATTTACTCTAGAACTTTAAATATTAAAAATTTACGTGAACCATAAACATGGATAAATTTTACTTAACGCATCTTCTTTTCTTAACGAGCGCATCTGCTCGTTACATCCAAAAAAATCACCGAAATTTAATCTACTTTTTATTTTTATCTGGATAGGAAAACGTCAAGAAATATGATTCTATGAATATTTTTTCAATAAAGCTGAAAAAAATTCTAATAAGACGATAATACATGCTTTTAAGAAGATAACGTTTGAAAAGTTGACCTGGATAAATTTTACCCATTTCTAGAGTTTTAGAGTTACGTGGAATTAAGAACTTTAAGTAAAGAGATTAGCTTGAAGTGAGGGGTTACATATATGTAACACTGATGGAGAACGTGTTAAAATACACAGGTCGGTGATTAACGACGACAGTTGGTCATTGAAAAATTTGCTCGTCAAGCTCGTTCCAAACGATTAGTTTTATCCGCGCAGCGGAGGGGATATTTCTCTTAATTCGCGCGCGACATAAATTCAATACCGGCGAGTTTAACATCAGTTGTGCATTTTACAAAGCGCACGCTATCTCCGTTTTGTGTACGGATGTCGCATGCGTAACTTTATAATTACACCGCCGGGAGTAACACCTCACTCGTGCGTGTCAAGAATTTTCAACCAACTCTCTTTGGCCGCGCCTTTGGTGAAGAGCGCGATGGAGAGAACGAGCGAGCAAGAGAGAGAGTGAGAGAGAGAGAGAGAAAAAAAAGTCAGCGTTGCTCGCGAGAGAAGCGTAAAAATGAATTAAGGTCATTTGCAATCTAATGGCTTTTCCATTTGCTACGCGAAATCCATACAGAAGTTGTCGTTGAAAGAAAGTGCGGCTATTCACCGACACCTTGTGCAAACCTCTCACACGAAATCTCCTCGATATCGACCATGTTCTGGCCATCGCGCGCGCCCGGGAATGTCGGTGATTTTCTACGATGGAACAAAGGAAGATGCTGCGTCGTTACTTTCCCGTCTTCCTTCGCGCAAGAGCCGCCGTGTCTCCATGAAGTTCAATTCCATCGTAACGACTATTTCGGACGGGTAACTCGTTCAAGTTTACGGCGACTCTATTTGGTTTCGCTCGAGTCGCTTTTCCTGCCCCTCTCTCTCTCTCTCTCTCTCTCTCTCTCTCTCTCTCTCTCTCTCTCTCTCTC